GGATCAGCTATCTTTTAAGATGTCAACCGAGATGCTGAAATGCATTTTCAATTGTAAACTCGAAGACAATGTGTCTTGCGATCTTCAAAACTGTTAAATTATGGGGTGTTTAAGCTTCATTAAGCCTCGTAGGTGTTCATTTATCAAGTATGCAGCATTGCCACATCCAGTGTAAACGTTCGTGAACACTACGCACCATCTTCCTCATAGTGGAAAGAAATTGGTATTTTTCTCAGAAAGAATTTTTACAGCATATACTTTGGTTAAACTAAATTTTTATGTAACGGCAGGCTGGGATCACCATTATTCGGGAATTGGAAACGTTCCTCTAGATCTTTACGTATAAAGTCAAAAGAGAACCTTCTTCCTTACCAAATAAGTGAAAGAAAGGATATTGTATGCATGTTTTCTATTAAATATATTTGAATATCTTAAGACACCGGAATGGGGCTCGTACAAAGAGAGAACGGACGATGTGACTGGAAGATTGAGTGCACGGAGCAAGCGGACGTCAGTAGGGGGAGGGGGATTTACCGCTAAGAGATGGTAAGGTGCAGAAGTCATCATCAATGGCCACACCAAAGTCTTACGTAGTGCGCTACGTACAAGGGTGTGGTAAGAAGTTGCGGCAGATAAACATCGAAGGCGGCTAGAAAGAGGCTCGATAGAAGGCCGGCATCCTGACGTGCGTAAAATCTCTTCAGATCGGGCTAAACAACATTCATTAGTACAATTGTACGTATAACTTGGGGTTGAATACGTCCTTCGGAAATAGAATTTTATTGCGTGAATTTTCGTGACTGGAGCCCCAGCTCATCATCATATGCAGTCCTGTGGGCGGGGGGATTTCAGAATGCCGTTGTGGCTAGTGGTAATGGGGGCAGGTGTTCGGGGTCTCATGTGTGACTCACTGCACCGGTAGGCTGCTGCGGTGTGTCCCCCCCGTTCGGATCGGTTCGCGTGTCGCCCATTTCTGCTGGAGTCTTTTGTACGAACACTCCAACTCGACATGCTTGTTGATGCATGATGTGTCCGAGTGCATTACTTCTAGGAATTCGCGGACTTTCTTGAAGGGACAGGTAGCGACAATACGAGTTTTCTCCCACGCGAACGTATGCCCGGTGTACAGGATATGCATGGTGATT